ACAGGTAGATTAGGCTTCATATATTTACAGCACTGTTTCAGAAGTTTCCGAACCGCTAAAACTGGAATCATAGGCCCAACACAATATTCACCACTGGCCTACCACAGCCAATCAGAGCACCACTAGCTTACCCACAGCCAATCAGCTTCTGGCTGACGGGCTGCTGCTAGCCGCATGTGAAAGTACACATCAGCCAGACCAAAATCACAACAAACCTTCCGACATGGAGTAAACATCTTGTGTACACCCTGCACTTGATAATGAATTCCCCTCGTTAGCGCCTGCAAAGTGATTACTGCAACAATTGTAGAGAGGACTTCCGTAACGAGCGACCGCTACTAAATCTAGATCCTAGATCTAGAATATATTCCAACAATTCAAAGGCTAAAACTAAAGGGAAGTCCACCCGGCTAAACTGCTAAGGCAGGCTAAAGTGCTAAAGTCTAGGCAAAAAGGGCAGTTACTTTGAACATCGGTCTCTAGGCTAGATCTATTCTAGACTAATATCTAGACTCTAGATCTAGTTCTAGACTCTAGATCTACTAGTCTAGGCCTAAGTTGAACTGAATGAGGAGCATACACATGTAATTGTTAGGACTGTAGAGTGAAAAGAACATTGCTCAGTTTTGAGGAGGAAAGACTACACTTTCATCTGATCAGTATGGCGGGATCGGCATTGAAGAGACTCATGGCAGAGTATAAACGTAAGGCGATCAAATAAAAATAAGCCTGTGGCCTATGGCTATGCGTACCCATACGTCCCTCCCGTAAGCATAGCTTTTCGTGGTGGGGCCGTCTTCGAAAAAGTGCGGACTTTGCGATCAGAGTTACCCTACACTTGTCTTGTGTGACAAACAATAAAAGTATTAAAAGTGAAACTAACAAACTGTGTTATTCCTGTTCTTCTTCTGATGAAACAAAAGAGCTTCAAAACAAAGACTGTGCAACAGCGTCTCTAAACCAATATGCGGGCTTCCGCGGACACCTTTTTGGCTGAGCGAACTATTTAGTTTTATGTACGGTCTTTGGCCGAGAGACGCTCAACGAGGTCAAGATAACTTGCAAAGTCATTGGTCACTACTTATAACTTTGACCTGTAATTTACTACGTCATTTTCCATATATATAAGGAAGGCTATGCTGAAATTTTCCATTGAAAAAAGGTCAGCGTCTATACCTTTACTTTAATTATAGCTGCGCGCTTCCCAATCAAAGTAGGTCATCTCTATATATAGGGCCTGCGCGCTTCCAGGGTAGCCCGGCTCACGCCCTTTATAAAGGGCCTGGGCCTAGACGTTCAGAGATTGTATTTATTTATAGGACGTATAGGCCTGCGCGCTTCCAGGGTTTAAGTTTGTCCACTTGTAATGTCCGGTTTGATAGTTTCATAAATGTGGGCCAACAAAGGGTAGCTTTATAATGTGAAGTGGAGGGCCGTACACATAGCCTCGATGCTATGCGTACGGGAGCCGTACGCATAGCCACTTCGTAAAAATAAAGTACAATCTAGTCACATGAGTTTGTATGAAATGACGGCAACCTACCTCTGCCCCTTAAATGTTTCTTAATTATTCTGGCACTTTCCACCATTATTTAGTTTTAAATTTAATACATTGACATGTAAGTCGTGTTTTACTTATATTCGTATCCATACGACTTGGGGAACTCTGTGCCACCACTTTCAAAGAGAAAATTAACTTGTTAATCCGATCCGTACGCTTTGCTTAGAAGTCTGTCGAAATGATCTTTTGAGAAATACAGAAAGTTTCAAAGAGATCTTCTTACTAGAAGTATTCTGAAATGTGAAGAATACAACCCAGAGAGGTACAAAATGACCCCAGGGCGTACGGATAGGGTTAAGCTTTGACTTTATCTAGGGGGGGGGGGGGGATAAAACCACTGTTCTGGGGGCTCTCTTTTGATACAAAATCTAAAAGGGGCTTCAATTTTTCTCTAAATTGGGTAAATTTTTACTTATGCACCCACACACAGATGCATTAATTTGAGGGCAAAACTGCCATAAATTTTGCTGTAGAACACACATATGGCCACTAAAGTTTTCAAGTCAATATCAATCCCAATTGCCAAATCATTGTGAAATGCAGGGGGGCATGCCCCCCTGAAACCCCCAGATTCTTTATAGGTCCGTGGGGCATGCCCACCTGAAACGCCCCATTTTGTTAAGATCAAGTCAAATATTACTATTTTCAAACATCAATTACTCAATAACTATTAATTTGCGGCAAAAAGGAAGGCCATATTCGTGTTCAGCATGCAAAATACTACTAGAAAAGAAGTATATATATATATATAAAAAAACGTGTACATGAGAGGGGTGAATGAGTAATTTAAAAAACCCCTACATTTGTCGTTGATGTCACTGGAGCATTACACCAGCCGTGAAGGCCGACCTGAATCAACCGACACGAAGCTGGCTAAAGAGGCTCTGGTGAAACCGTGACTGGCCTAGCAAGCCGACGGCGGGCTCTGGTGAAACCGTGACTGGCCCTAGCAAGCCGACGACGGGCTCTGGTTAAACCGTGACTGGCCCTAGCAAGCCGACGACGGGCTCTGGTGAAACCGTGACTGGCCCTAGCAAGCCGACGGCGGGCTCCTGTGAAACCGTGACTGGCCCTAGCAAGCCGACGGTGGGCTCCTGTGAAACTGTGACTGGCCTAGCAAGCCGACGGCGGGCTCCTGTGAAACCGTGACTGGCCTAGCAAGCCGACGGCGGGCTCCTGTGAAACCGTGACTGGCCCTAGCAAGCCGACGGCGGGCTCCTGTGAAACCGTGACTGGCCCTAGCAAGCCGACGGCGGATAAATCCTGCTAAGAAAAAACAAAGGAAACTTGGTCAGGGATTTGAGTATCATGTGTGCCTGTTTTAACAGAGCTGAAGTTATGTTAAAAATTGAAGTCTGTTTTATTAGTATAATATTGCTTTTTGTAAGGAAGCTTATTTTTTTTTTTTTTTTTATGTAAGTATTGTAATGCACATTTTTGTTTGTAGCTGAGGACCACAGCACATGTGTTTTTGTATCACCAGTAAACCTCAAGGTATAATTAGAAATGTATAAAAACTTTATTTCAATTATTCCTTTGATTTCAGAGCTGACACTGAACCCTCCAGAGGGAATCATTGCAGGGCCTGTTGATGAAGAAAACTTTTTTGAGTGGGAAGCTCTCATTATGTAAGTCTTGTGGCAGTACACTGGTAGTAATTTTGTGTCCTTTCACTTATTTCCTTTTAGTTGCCCCCTCCTTTTTTTAGTGATGCTAGTGGGTGGTTGGTGGGTGCTCTGGTGTGGTTTGCTCCTTATTTCCTTTCAAACATCTATCTTTCTTAAGCATCTCTCCTCCTTTTTTGTGTGTATGTTACTCTCTCATCACCTCTCTAATCACTAATCTTCCCAACTTCTTTCTATATAAATGGCCTTATTGTGTTGCAAAGGCTGTGAAACTCTAATACTCTTCCTAAAAACCCCTCAGTGATGCTTGATGACATGTCGCATTGTTTCTGGATTGTTCTTTGTACCGAGGCAGGAGGAAGGCAAGCAGGACCCCCCTCCCCCCCCCCCGGGGCGGTGCTACTGACTGAAGTGTCTCTAGGCCATTTCCAAAGAGAGGGACAGTGACATCTCGAGTTCTTTTGTACAGTAGAATTGTAATTGTAAATGGGCTGATTCATCAATGTCATGCTCATAACTGTGCCTGAACTACAACAGGGAACTGCTGCTTTTTCTTTCCTTTTCCTTACTATCGTCATTTTCCTCTACTTCTTTTATATGTTTGTCACTCTCTTGTGACCTGCTATTTTGGGGTGCCTTGATAGTCGAAGCAGACCTTGTGCTGTTGAAGCTAGAGAAATGAGCAATCTAAGTCTGATTCCCTGTAAAGACTTCTCTGTTGACACCCACCTCTTGGCGCTCATATGACTTAATGCAGTTGTGAGCGCTGTAAAACCTCCACTAAAACAAACAAAAGAAGACAAGCAGGGGAGGGGGGGGGGGGGACAAATTGATCGCAGCACAACCGGCTCAGTGTGGACTTGTAGAAGGATGGGAGTTGAGAGCCTTGACGGGGCTAAGGGTTAGGGTGCAACATTGTAGGCAAACACTGAACGCCTTTTTTCCAAGCATTGGTCTTGACATAAAAACTCTCATCCGAGGATTTTTCAGAAATCTACTTGTGTTGTGTGCAACAGAGGCAGTTTTATATATATATATATATATATATATGTATATATATATATTATATATATATGTAAAAGTTGGCCTGTAGTTGACCCAGTGCGCAGATTGTCTTACACTACGGGACACAGGGCGCTCCGATAGCTGTAATGGGCGAAGTCATGACAAGCTATAATTAATTACTAATGATAATAATGATAAATTACACTTTTATTGATCCTAGACGGGCAATTTGGTTTACAGTGGCGAACATATATACATACATTATATTTAATTACTCAATTACATCATTTTGTTGGACATTGTATGATGTGTTGTATCTATAGGGGCCCCCAAGACACGTGCTTTGAGGGGGGCGTGTTCCCGGCCAGGCTGACATTTCCCCCAGACTACCCCCTGAGTCCGCCCAAGATGAAGTTCACCTGTGAGATATTTCATCCCAACAGTAAGTTGATGTCAGCTCACACAAATACTGTGCCATTTCTTGTTGTTTTTTTGTTTTTGTTTTGTTTTTGTAAGTGTTTTGCAACGCTCGCAACTGCATAACGCCATGAACGCGCGGGACACTCTAAACTTTTTCAGTTGGCAGGAAATTTGGAATTTTGCCCCGTTGGCGGCCGCAGCCTCCTCTTATCAATTTTAGACCTCCAAGGGATCTTTAACGTGTGCAACTTGCACACAGGCCGTCCGAGATTTTTTGCCCTTGTCCGAGAAGGCTAGGTGAAGATCTTTCCTATCAGAAGATCAGGGGTGTGGCTGAAAGACAGCAATAAGAAGGAGCCAAGGAGTAGCAGTAGAAAGGCTGCAGAAAGAGTCAGGAGCCCAGAGGAGGGGGCAAAGGAGGTGAAGGGGTGGGGGCAGAAAGAGGAGACGAAAGCAGACGACAGAACATTGCTAGAGAGTAGGAAAGGAGGTGAAAGGAGACAATTTTAGAGAAGAAACTTTTTCGGTTGCTACCCGGATTCGAACCCGGGACCTTTGAATGAGAGGCGAACACCTTCACCTCTAGACCACGAGAGCCCCCCATTTTATTTCTTGTTACCATTTGTGGGACAAAGTTGTTATAAAAACTGAAGTCTTTTAAAAATATGTCCTATTACTTTCTTTTGGTATGTTGTTTTTTGTGTGTTTTTTTCTTGCGTTTTGTAAGTGATGGATGGTTGGTCGCGTGCAAGTTTCTTGTAAGCTTTTTTTTTCCTTCTCTGTCTTTGTATTAATGTATTTTTTTAAAAAAATGGTTTTCCCGCTCACTTATAATATACAGCATAACACAGATAGCAGGAATTTGTCGGGACAGGCCTTGGCAGTTGGAAGGATCTGTAGTTCGAGGGATATTTTACAAAGATAAAGAAGGAAAAAAAACGGACCACTGGCACAGTTTGACGGATACAGGATTTCGAGTCTTCTATATTGGACCTATCCGTGTAGTACAATATTTTCAGAGATTCTTATGTTGGAGGTATCGTTTTTATGGTTTGAATTATTCTTTTCGTTGGTGGTTGGCGGGTGCTCTGGTGTGGTTTACTTCTTCTTTCCTATCAACCATCTATTGTCTTTATCTCCCCTCCTTCTTTTTTGTGTTTGTTACTCTCTTGTAACACCTCTAATCGTCGGCACTTATATGAGCTTATTGTGTTGCAAGTGCCGCAAAACTCTTACTAAAACTAAACTTTTGATTCTTTTCTAGTTTTCTATGTCTCTGCTCAGTGGTAGCAACGTTTGTAGGTCAGATTGATTCTTGTTGTAGATTCTGCCTTTGTCAATATGCTGAACTATATGTGAAGCGAGCTGACAAAATGAATGACTTCTCGGATTCACACCTTAAGGAAATAGATAGTACATCAGGCTTACAGGTGAAGTTTTTACAATTTATAAGTATGAAATAATACAAGACAGGTTATAGTTAAAGAATATGGCATCAATAGAAAATCTACAAATTTGACCCTAATGTCGATTTTTGGCCAATATATCCATATGTGGATTGCGAGAAGTAACTCATTTTGTTAGCAAGCCACACATATTCCTGTATCAGTTGTGTGTGTGTCTGATGGTTGGTGGGCCCTACTTTTTAACTGTCCAAATTTTTAGTTCCTGTCTGTGCATCATGTTTATTTATGCCTGAATGTGTTTCTTTTTCCCACCTCTAAATGACCTCCTTCTTTCCTATCAAACATCTATCGTCCCCATCTCTTCTCCTTCTTTCCTATCAAACATCTATCGTCCTCATCTCTTCTCCTTCTTTCCTATCAAACATCTATCGTCCTCATCTCTTCTCCTTCTTTCCTATCAAACATCTATCGTCCTCATCTCTTCTCCTTCTTTCCTATCAAACATCTATCGTCCTCATCTCTTCTCCTTCTTTCCTATCAAACATCTATCGTCCTCATCTCTTCTCCTTCTTTCCTATCAAACATCTATCGTCCTCATCTCTTCTCCTTTTTTCCTATCAAACATCTATCGTCCTCATCTCTTCTCCTTCTTTCCTATCAAACATCTATCGTCCTCATCTCTTCTCCTTCTTTCCTATCAAACATCTGTCGTCCTCATCTCTTCTCCTTCTTTCCTATCAAACATCTGTCGTCCTCATCTCTTCTCCTTCTTTCCTATCAAACATCTATCGTCCTCATCTCTTCTCCTTCTTTCCTATCAAACATCTATCGTCCTCATCTCTTCTCCTTCTTTCCTATCAAACATCTATCGTCCTCATCTCTTCTCCTTCTTTTTTGTGTTTGTTACTCGCTTGTATCACCTCTAATCTTTGGAGCTTTCATGACTTAATTGTGTAAAACTCTTACTGAAACTAAACGCATCGAATGGTGATATCACATGAGTGCTGTTGAATTGATGCCATTTTCTAGATAATATGTGAGGCATCGTGGTGAAATCAGGCACTCGTCCAAATAATGAAATCAAAGAAATTGGCATTTTCTGACCGACAGGCATTTGTTTTTTTTAAATTTTCAATTTTTGGCTCAACGCCTTTTACATCCATTTAAAAACGCATTTCTGTGTGGACTTTACTGAAAAACATTGATTAAAGACTCAAAAATGTAAATTTTCAGTTTTCAAGGACTCTCAAGCTATGGAAATTGCCAAAACTTTGGCGGCCATTTTCTCGCCAATTTCACCTCTGAAACCAGGCAACCCCTGACCTCCTTCATTCGCAAATATTTCAACTTAAATTCAACATAGATGGTTATTTTTTTTCTCCAAAAGCAAGGCAAATAAACAGGCTTTAAGACGACACCAATAACTCTATATGCCCCGAAATTGACGAGCGCCTGATTCCACCACGTCATGACACATATGCCTAGTTTCTATCTGCATCTGTGGTGTAGAGGTTGCGTGCACAAGACCTGAGTTTGATTCCTGAGTGGAGAGAAAATTTTCCTTGAGTATCTTTGTCTTTCTGCTGTGATACTGTATCCCTCTCAGTCTGGGTTTGTCCTGACAGGCAGGGTCAGAAGCGTATTTCCTGAATGGTCGAAATTGTTTTGATGAGGGTGTTAAAAAACATCTGCTTTTAAAAAGACGAAATGATCCGAAATATTTTCTCTCTCTCTTGCCCTTTTCAACTCCCAGTGGAGCATAGGCCATCAACATAACTTCAGCGAAGCCTGTCCCGTGCATCCTTTTCTAGCTGTTTCCATGATGTCCCTGCCTTTTCCATTACCGCTTGCCGACACATTTTAGTTTCTACCTATTCAAAGAGGTCAACTAGTAACTGTGAAGGATTTTCTTTCAGTATACTCGGACGGCAGAGTGTGCATCTCGATCCTGCACGCCCCGGGAGACGACCCCATGGGGTACGAGACGAGCGCCGAGCGGTGGAGCCCGGTACAGAGTGTGGAGAAAATACTGTTGTCTGTTGTCAGCATGTTGGCCGGTGAGGGCTGTTGAGATAAGATAAGATAAGATAAGCTAAGATAACAGTAAGATAAGAGTAAGATAGGATAAGATAAGATAAGATAAAATGAGATAAGATAAGCTAAGATAACAGTAAGATAAGATAAGAGTAAGATAGGATAAGATAAGATAAAATGAGATAAGATAAGATACGATAGGATAAGATATGATATGATAATATAAGCTAAGCTAAGATAAGATAACAGTAAAAGTAAGATAAGAATAAGATAAGACAAGATAATACTTTATTATCCCTGAGGGACATTTTTTTTAGCTGTACAGGACCGTAAAAACACATGCAGGTATATGTAAAAAATTTTAATTATACCTTACTCTCATTAAAATTCAATATGAAAAGAGAAGTAAAGCTAACAAAATTTGTACATTCACATCAGATGCGTCATTCAACCACATGCAGGAATTTAATTACAAGACCTTTGGAGTTATATATAGATACATACTCTAAAGAGCAATACACTTGTTTGTTTTTCTTATGTGGTCAAAGCATCTGATTGTCTAGTAATAGTTGTACTGTTCACGGTCATTTCTTCCCTTCACTCACACAGCGTTATGACTAGTGCTGTTTCATTGTTTTAAAATGATATGAAATCCAAATGATAACTTTGCTTTGTAAAAAATTCACATCGAAACTCCTGGTTCTGTACTCGCACCCAAAAAAAATGCACCCTGCCCAGACACAGACGCATGCAAACACACACGCACACACATACCATACACACACACACACACACACACACACACACACATATACACACACATACACACACACACACACACACATACGCACACACACACACACTTACTTACACACACACACACACTGCTTTGCATCATTATGATTCTAATGTTGTCTATATCTCTCCTCAGAACCAAATGATGAAAGCGCCGCTAACGTGGACGCTGCCAAGACTTGGAGAGATGACAGAAACGGTTTTGAAGAAATTGCCCAGGTCACAGTCCGTAAATCTTTGGGCTTGTGATGTCTTTGAAAGTGCTGGCGGCTGGCTGCGTATGTTGCTCGTTAGTAACTATGATCATTATTCATGAGTGGGCATTAGGGTTAAAAGCGCTCGCGGTATCTTCATTGAGATACTTTTTTTCTACATACTCACTTTGAATTTGTTGAAGATTGCTTTTGGTTGTTTTTTTTGTTTTACATTTTTTTTTGGGTAGCGGTAGGGTGGGGTGTGCCTCTGAAAGTTTCTGCTATGCTTAGAGAGCCACATTTAGCTGGTAGTCAGTCCCGTGTCATGTGACCGAAAAATCCTTTTTATTAAAAGTCCGGGACTATGGGGGCATTTGTAGCTGAGAATACAGTCAGGCATGGAGAACTCCAACGCGTCCTGGATCCACAAATGTGTTTGACATTTGTTTGACACACATCTAGAATTCGGGTTAACCAATGATGAAAAATTAAGGAGATGTCAGTCAGGGAATGGCAAATTGTACGAATTATCTGTGATTTCTAGTTTTTTTGCGTTCTTGTTATCTGTGCCTGCATGTATTTAGTTTGGGAAGAGTGTTCTATGGTCTGCTGGGGTAATAATATAATGTAAAGCGCATAGAGCGTGCTGTTGAGCGGGGATATGCGCTATACAAATGCTATCTATTATTATCTATTATTATTATTATTACTGATAACTTCACATGTCCTTTCCACGTGTTGAGTGAATGCCAGGTTTTGGAACAATGTGAGAAGAATAAAAGATTCATGAAAATCTTGAAACATTGTTTTTATTTTTACTACTTTGCTTACTACTTTACTTTTTTTTGTGGATCCAGCGACCATTTCAGTTCTAGCCCTTCGGCCTGTCGATATGGCAAACAATTTACAGGTTTTATCAGTTGTGTTTTGTGGTTGTTTAGTATTTCCGATGTCTGGGGAGGCAGGTAGGTAGGTGCTACACAGGTCGCTAAGTACAGGGCAGGTAAAGAGGTGGTGTGATACTGTTTCATCCTGGCAGTCACACAACGGGCAGTCGGGTGGGGTATCCTTGGGATCCTATTTAGGTAGGAATTTAGTAGGATTTATTTTTTTACAAAAAACTTGAAGGGTGAGTAGTTTTTGTTGTTGTTTGTTTTGTTTTGGAGTTTAATGTGCCAGTCTCATATCTTGTTGTTTTTTTTTCATGAAAGGAAGAGGCTGCACTTAATTTAGTTTTACTGAGAATTTTCGACACTTGCAACACAATAATGTCCTATAGTGCTGAAGATTAGAGGTGTTACAAGAGAGTAACAAATACACACACAAAAAAAGGAGGGATAAAGACGGTAGATATTTGTAGGAAAGAAGGAGCAAACCACATCAGAGCACCTGCCGACCACCCACATGCTGCACTTGTGTTGTGATTTACTGAAACAAGTTGGGCACGTTACAGATCCCTTGGTGGTCCCAAAATTGATCAATATGAATAAGAGTAGGATTTGACTGCCACTCGGGCAAAATTCAAAATTCCAACCAAAACTGAAACTGAAAAATACTCTAGTCAGTTTTTAAAAAAAAAAGTGGGTGGATGGCGGGTGCTCTGTTATGGTTTGCTCCTTCTTTCCTATTAAACATCTATCATCCTGATCTCTCCTTTTTTGTGTATGTTACTCTCTTGTAACACCTCTAAAACCTCGGCACTTATATGACCTTATTGTGTTGCAAGTGCCGTAGAACTACTAAAACTAAACAGAAGAAAAAGGCCAGACACACCCCAGGGAAGACCCGGGTCGGAGATCCCAAAGAATAGCCATTAAAATTTTCAAAATATATATTTTTGTTTTTTTGAGGAAAAATATTCTTCAGCATCTGTTCTATAGGGTCATGATGACGAAACTGTTGGAAAAACACCCTAATTGACCTAAAAAGATGTTTGAAGAGAGCATGTGTAATCTAAAAATCATATGAAAAAATGTTTTTTTCTCAAAATCTGCTTTTTCACATGTGATCTCCTTGGTGCAAGGATTCTCCAAAAACTACAGAAGCTAGAAGCTTCAAATTTGACACACAAGTGTTTTATGCTGTCCCCGTCGTTTCTGCATGAAATATTCTGAAATCATGCAAACTGAGCCCAAAAATGTGAAATTCTGCGATTCTGATAATTTTTTAAAACAAAGAATGATAAAAGAAAATAATCAGAAATTATGCAAAAAATGATCAAATTTTGCTAAATTATGCGGGGTGCATAAAACCACTGGGACAGTTTATGATCTATTCCGTGAGATTAGGAGAAGAAATTGGGAAATATTGGTAACTTGTGGAAATATGTTGTGTGTGTCTACAGAAAGGTACCAAAAGTCGCCACAGAGAATTTGGAGCTACAGGCTGATGCACTGATAATGACCAACAAAATAACTTTTTTTTACCAAAGTGTGTTTCCATTTAAAAAATGATAGTTTCACCATTTTTTAACAATGTATTAAAAGGGTTTTCATTGGTTTGACTTCTAAATATTTTATTTTGAACAATTTTGAGACCAGGGTATTTTTTAAAGATATAACAAAAACTGCTTTTAGAAAGTGTTAAAATCTATTCTTGAAGCATGTTTTCTCTTGCCCGATATGTTTTACCATTGAATTCTAATCATGATATTGATGTCAACTGAATGCCAAATTGGAATTGAATTTTTCCATGAAAAAAATACACTAGAAACAATTGAATCATTGGTTTTTTTTCAAGTTTGTAAGTGTCCTAAACTTAAAAGCTAATTATCTCAAAATTACATCTTTATACCCTACCTCACAAAATGTGCAATATCTAACAAAAACCTACTTGAAATATCTCATTGAATTTTCTACAATGTACAACCTTTACTCAAAATGGTCAAAATCCCACTTTTTGTTCCTTTTTTTAGGCACACACACACACATTATGATATTTTTGTTTTTTTGTGGAAAAACATTCTTCAACATCTGTTCCATTGGGTAACGATGACGAAACTGATGGAAAAACACCCTAAATGACCTAAAAAGATGTTTGAAAAGAGCATGTGTAAACAAAAAATCATATTTTTAAAAATCTTTTTTTCTTTCTCAAAATCTGCTTTTTCACATGTGATCTCCTTGGTGCAAGGATTCTCTAAAAACTACAGGAGCTAGAAGCTTCAAATTTGGCTCACACGTGCTTTAAGATCTATTCCGTGGGACTAGGAGAAGAAATTGGGAAATATTGGTAACTTGTGGAAATATGTTGTGTGTGTCTACAGAAAGGTACCAAAAGTCACCACAGAGAATTTCGAGTTACAGGCTGATAGATAATGACTCAAAAATCTCTTTTTTAATCAAAATGTGTAAAAAAAAAATTATAGTTCCACCATTTTTTTACAATGTGTTAAAAGGGTTTTCATTGATTTGACTTCTAAATATTTTATTTTAAATAATTTTGAGACTAGCGTATTTTTAAAGATAAAACAAAAACTGCTTTTAGAAGGTGTTAAAATCTATTCTTGAAGCATGTTTTCTCTTGCCCGATATGTTTTACCATTGCATTCTAATCATGATATTGATGTCGACTGAATGCCAAATTAGAAATGAATTTTTCTATGAAAAAAATACACTAAAAACCATTGAATCATCGTTTTTTTCAAGTTTGTAAGTGCCCTAAACTTAAAAGCTTATTTTCTCAAAATTAGATCTTTATACCCTACCTCACAAAATGTGCAATATCTAAAAAAAACTACTTTAAATATCTCAAAAATTCAAAAACCACTGTGTTCAGTATTGAATTTTCTATAATGTACAACCCTTAACTGAAAATGGTCAAAATCTGACTTTTTGTTCCTTTTTCTAGGCACACACACACATACATATATATACATTTTTCTAACAAAGTTTCGTCAACTGACTGTATGGGGTCCATTGACTTTGGGCTCAATTTTTTATTTTTAAAGATCGGTCAAAATCCTTTCCTATTTCCACCGCTGATGGGTTTGCACTTGTGTGCCAAGTTTCAGACTGAAGTTCCCATATTTTCTATGAAATTCATTTGCACTGAGAAACTGGTTTGAAAATTATCCGAGATGGCCGCCACAGAGACCCATTTTTCAGAAAAAGTCAACAAATTCACCCTTAGTTCGTCCTCTTTACCTAGGAACTTCTTGCACAATTACTTCAAAGTCAATTGTGGTCATTCGTTCAGAAAATTGTGTGTGCCTAAAGAAAGGTACCAAAAGTCGCCACAGAGAATTTTGAGCGAGGCCAAGTAACTGACGATAATGACCAAAAAATCACTTTTTTGACCAAAATGTCTTTCCATTAAAAAAATGATAGTTCCACCGTTTAACAATGTGTTAAAGAGTTTTCATTGATTTGACTTCTAAATATTTTATTTTGAATTATTTTGAGGGTAGGGTATGTTTTAAAATGATAATGAAAACTGCTTTTAGACGGTGTTAAAATCTCTTCTTGAACTTGAAGCATGTTTTCTCTTCCCCGCTATGTTTTACCATTGCATTCTAATCATGATATTGATGTCAACTGAATGCCGAATTGGAAATGAATTTTCCATGAATAAATACATCAGAAACAATTGAATCATTGGGGTTTTTTCAAGTTTGTATCATGTGTTCTAAACTTAAAATAAAAGCTAATTTTCTCAAAATTACATTTTATACCCTACCTCACAAAATGTGCAATATCTAAAAAAACTACTTGAGATATCTCAACAATTCAAAAACCCCTGTGTTCAGCATTGAGTGTCCTATTAGGTACAACCCTTGACTCACAATGGTTAAAAGCTGACTTTTGGTACCTTTCTTTAAGCACTCACACATTTGATCTGTCCCTGTGTTTTTATGCACCCCGCATAATTTAGCAAAATTTGATAATTTTTTGCATAATTTCTGATCATTTTCTTTTATCATTCTTTGTTAAAATTAACAGAATCGCATAATTTCACATTTTTGTGATCAGTTTGCATAATTTCAGAATTGTTCTTGTATAAAACGACGGGGACAGTTTTATCGGTAACTCAAAATATTGAACCTAAAGATTTTCTCACAAAGAGCGGTCAGATTCTTCCGTATTTTAGATTCAAACATCTGTCTGAATTTGCTGATTTGCTGTGACCTCACTAAAATAGTGTGAATAAAGAATGTTCCCACTGTGAGCAAAATGTAATCGTGACGTCATTTTGTTGTCAGTTCCTTACATTGCTTCAGGTATCCCCTTTCCACACAATGCCATACCAGACCTCACTAACTAAGAAGTCAGTTGAGGTATTATAATAATGCAAGTTTATTTCATGATAATTATTAATAACGTGTTATTTATTCCAAAAGATTGATATACTCTGTATACAAATCAAGTACTACAATCACAATCGTCAATCCATCTGTTAGCTGAAACTGGCACACTGCTACACCCACTCACAAGTACACACACACACACTCACACACATACACACGCACACACACACTCATACACTGAGGCACACACACAACAACAGTAGTCAACACACATCTAAACACACTAGTTGGGAACACGTGTCATCATCTGAAGTATATCACCACCAAGTCCAAGGGCGACTGTGATCTCACACATCACACGTGCATGCGACGGAAACGTTACAGGTCAAAGGTCAAACATATGATGAATACTTCGGCTACACCCAAAGAGGTTGTTGGCTACACCACAAACAACACAGGAGGGTGACTGACCTTTCATTGATCATTGAGGGTGACTGACCTTTCACTGAGGGCTTTACAAAACAACGCTGTTATGATATGACCTGATATGACCGTGGTTATTGTGACAAAATAAAACGTGGATTAATATTATGACCTTTGCAAAATTAAATTTATAAATATAGGTAATAGATTTAGTGATACACTGTTATTGTTGTTGTTGTTGTTGCAAAGAACAGGAAATACTTCATCAGCTCATCAACAAGAGGTTTCTAATTTCTACCAAACTTGCATGGTGGTAGACAAGGATTTTTGAATCTTTAACATCTGTTAATAAATGTCACACATGTTAGGAACAAAGTATCTGCACGCGATTTTTAACAAGTAAAATAGTAATCTGATACATATCATATCACAAAAAGTCACTCATAGTTTAACAACTAGATAACAGTCAGGAGGAGGAAAAAAAAGAAGTACAACCCAGCACTTGTTTTGAAAGAAAAAAACAACACATCTTTCAAAAAAACAATATCACATTTAAAATTTCACAAATTTATGTGGAGGAAACGGAGATGAAACAAACATCATTTATTAATTCGTTAATCATTATTGTGGGTGTAGGGAGAAGGAAGATCTCCATCCCAGTCACGCTGTCTACCACAGCCATCTAGTCATCCCCTCTCTTCCCCTCCTCTCTCCTCTCCTCTCCTCCCCTCCCCTCCAATAATTTCCTTGTGAAACTGACTCTGCAGTCATTCGTGGACTTTTCTCCACATACAGTGGAGGCTGCTGAAACTGAATCTGCGGCATCGCCAGATTTTCTATGATTTAGTCAGGTTTTCAATATTTAGAGAGGTGGTTCATGTATAGAAGGAAAAAAACCACCTGGGATTATATTTACTTTCGGTTTACTGATTAAACACATTCTGTTTAACATTTTGCAGTCACACAGCCAGCAGCACAAAATACCCCATCTGGTCACCCAGCCAGGAGAGTGACTGCAACAGACTTCTCCGGCCTGTTCCAGAACTGCGCCAGGTGACTAGAACGGATAATTTTCACCTGCGCATTATTGCGCCAAGTGACTGCAAAGTGTTAGGCGGACTTCACAGTGTACAGTTGTCTCTATAAAGTGTCTTTGAACGTGCTGCTGACTGTAAACAGATGTCTTTGACTGTGCTACTCACTACTCTATTCCTTCAAAGAACAGGTCACAAGCAAGTTTTACATTCAAATCTAATCAACTCGTGAGATTCTAAAATAAAAAATTCCAATACCAAAATAAAAGTAATACTGAACACACCTGAAATATTCAAAGTCAGTGACATGATTCAAAACACTGGAAAAAAACAACTTTGCGACACTCCCACAATCTTTGTCTTCTTGTCCCAACAAACAGTCGCCCGATATGGTGGGGAAAAACTTCCAATAATTCTGGACTTACTTAGAGGACAAGAAGTCTGTGGTAGACAGAGAGCTGACGGCGTGACCTCATTTAACATTACCCTGTAGAAATGAGCCATGTACAGGAAGCCAAAGAACAACATGAGGATACTGTGCTCAGATCCTTTTCATCGTATTCAGCTGCATCAACAGTACCAGAGATTTGCAACAAAAGTGTACGGTATGGTACAGTACACATACCTTCTGAAATATACACCCTATTTGAAAATGACACTAGCAGTAGTTAACACACGGTTAATGAGACAGCAAGAATGTACGTTATATTATTTTCTGTGAAAAAATTACTTGTGGTTTTCTTTGCTCCCCACAGTCCCAAGACTTAATCCACTGTTATAAACTGTTAAACTTTATTTATTTGACAAGCTCCTGTTTTTAATCCACAGTTAGTTTTTATTTATTTGACAAGCCCCTGTTTTTGGGGGGGAGCTTTGTACAGGACAAGAGAAAAGCACTCACATAGACTGCACAATGAAAATATACCAGTACACTTTGATAAAATATTGCAGTCAGGGTTCCATGGTTTCTGTTTTATTACTTTCTATTGACAGTGGGCCCTTAGAATTGATCCGTGACTAATCTTAGTATTCATTAAGAGAAAGGCTTTTTAAAAATCTATTCCCTTCAAAACAAAAAAGTTCTCAATTTCTGTGTTTGGTTGTTGCGTTCTGTTCAAAAGTGATCATTTTTCAGCTTTGAGCCACCATTTGTTGTCAAGGGGTTCTTTAATAAACAGGGTAAGATACTCTTATACATGATAACACAGCAAACCTCCTTCTAAACTGCATTTGTAGACAACAACAGGCATAACATGCAATCTAATATCAAAGTAATGTCAAAATAACTCCTCTTTTTGCATTCCTGAAAGGTAAAATCCTTTTTGGGGAAATTTCTGTTTCTGTAATAGCTATTTCAATTTTCTTGCTATAGAGTGAAAAAAACCTGACAACTTAATTAAGTAGGCCACAAAGAAAACAGAGATATGACGACCTTACGACGAAACAGCAAACAAAAAAATCTGATAAAAAAGGGACTTCTGATTCTGACAAGCTCAGTCCAGTTTCAATATCAAGGACATCAAGAGATCCCAAGATAAAGGACATCAAGAGATCCCAAGATAAAGGACATCAAGAGATCCCAAGATAAAGGACATCAAGAGATCCCAAGATAAAGGACATCAAGAGATCCCAATATCAAGGACATCAAGAGATCCCAAGATAAAGGACATCAAGAGATCCCAAGATAAAGGACATCAAGAGATCCCAATAGAAAGGACATCAAGAGATCCCAAGATAAAGGACATCAAGAGATCCCAAGATAAAGGACATCAAGAGATCCCAAGATAAAGGACATCAAGAGATCCCAAGATAAAGGACATCAAGAGATACCAAGATAAAGGACATCAAGAGATCCATCATTTAAAGTTAAAGAGAAAATAAATCAAATCAGATTTCAGAGTTTAAAAGAAAAGCATTGTTCAGCTGTATTCTCGGAGAGGGGAAAATAATCCATATAGCCTACATAATCAGCGCAGTAAGAAATAAATCAATGTAAACTAAACTGCCTTTGGACAGGACAGTTAGCCTGTGTATGTGGTACATGACTGTGTATGTAGTACTTTGTACTTTGTACAGTTAGCCTGTACATACAGCAAGCGGAGAGTAGATTTCAAGAAGCAGCAGGGCACCACACAATTTGGAAAAATAAAAAAGATAGGAGATTGTTGACCTGATGATTATTCACTCGCATTGAAATAAACAGGAAAGTGTTTCAATTTCACAAACGGAAGCAGCAATTGAAAAGATTTACAGTAAGGTGAATGTTTTCCATGGATTCTAGTTCTAGAGATCATACCGGTACATAAATTGTTTCATAAGTTCACAACCAACTTTATTTGATCACAAAACTTGGAATGAATGAAGCGGAAAACTTCTATAAAACTGTCACTTCAACCGGCTCATGATATATTTACCATATAATGATATAATGAGAATCACATTACTGAGATTAGGAATGTACTTTCAGTAAATGTTTCTTTACAGTGGAAGGAGAAAAAAAAAAAGAAACGAGACAGATCTGTCGTTTTGAGGGAGCTGATTTCAACATGAACCTCTACAGATACATGAAAAAAAGTCACAGATGGAAAGATCAACCTGCCAAATAACAGAAATACAAAGCAAAAAAACACTCAGTGAATACAAATCACAAAATCATCTTTCTACTATCAGTATTTGCAAAAGATAAAGATATTTTAATAAAGGGACAAAAAGATCCATCATCGACTTAACAAAAAAACCCACAAAAATCTAGGTGTCATATCTAAAAAGTAAACCACTGTTCAGCTGCATTCACCCAGAGGAAAAAGCCCAAACTCTGTCGTATTCTTAGGTCCAGGGAGGGGTAAGCAGAGAAAAAAATCGGTGTAAGGTTACTCAACATTTTGGTAAAAAGTTTTCAGTAATCGAGCTATGAAAAAATAAAAATGAGAAAAGTTTGTCTCTGAGATCATGTCAAACAGTCAATCAGGAAATAATTAATTCTAGCCCATTTTTTCAACCCAATGGACTTCAACTACATAATTTGATTTCTTATTTTTGAAGGAGAACATTTAGAGCCAGAGGCAGAAGACCAACCCACAAATACCACGTAATGTAACAGTAATACAATCATTGCAATGTCACGACTGTCTTACAGAATTTTCACACGTTCAATAAATTAAAGAACAAATGTTCTCCAAATAATCAACAAAACAACTTTAGAAATAATAATTATAATGCTTGGTTGAAATGATCTTTTTTCAATATCATTCTTATTTTTGTTTAGTTTTGAAGTTTCATTCATTTTTACCACACACTTCTACCGCGACTGCTCTGAGTCTACAACACCCACACAGCACAAGAACTTTGAGATGTCATGTCTACAACACCCACACAGCACAAGAACTTTGAGATGTCATGTCTACAACACCCACACAGCACAAGAACTTTGAGATGTCATGTCTACAACACCCACACAGCACAAGAACTTTGAAATGTCATGTATATACAACACCCACACAGCACAAGAACAGGCAGATAACATAACCCTCTCTGTCTCTGTCACAATCTCCTCCACTTGATTCACAATAAATCCACACAGTACAGTCATCATACAGTGGTTACTTTGCCATACAGTCATCATACAGTGGTTACTTTGCTTCACGGAGCGTGGTCGAACAATGTACAAAATAACGTCATAATTCATTTATAATAATAATATATATATATATAGATATAATATACGATTCACAAAATTGTTTACTGGGAAGGAACAAGAAGACACAAAAGCATCTTGAGCTTCAAAATGTTGCTACGCAAAACAAAACAATTAGAAAAATAATCATAGGAATGTTGTGGTATGATATTGAAGAAATGTCTACTATTTCCTCAGACGACGTAAATAGTGAATTCTAGATAGCATAAGTCCTGCCATGATAATTAAAGAAGCAAACAAGCACACTACAGGAAAGTACTAAGGAAACATTTCTCAGCTTACACAGATCAACTCTTCACACTGCAGAAGGGGACAGGAATGTACTGTGTAATGTTTTACTGCAAAAGCGGAGGTCTAAGAAGTGATTCTGAATAAAGCAAAGCAAAAAAAAAAAGAAAATTAACGCACAACCCAAAAACTTCCACCCAACATTCTCAGCCTTCAACATGAACCTCTACAGATGAAAAAAAAGTCACAGCCGTAAAGATCGACTTGTCATTCTCTCTGTACTGTGCAGTAAAGTGTACAGGTTTAACGCCCTATCAACACTATTTTGGGTATTCAAGAGGCAGGACCTTCCAAGTCAACATAAGTCTCCGATATAGGACTGAGCCAAACGGGTTACAGATAGCCTTGAGAACTCCACAAAATGACCAGAGTTCAAGAATGCTCGGACTGGGATTCCAACCAAGGCCATCCGCTCCGTTGTCGGGCACAATACTAACTGAGCAAAGCTAACAGAGCACTCCCATAATGTACAAAGTATCTTTCCTTTTTCACTGCGGCTGGTACAGAAACATTTGATGAAGACAGTGAACTCATCTGGGCGGTTGGTTGGTTAGCAGGTGCTCTGGTGTGGTTTGCTCTTTCCTATCAAACATCTATCATCCTTATCTTTCTCCTCCTTCTATTTCGTGTTTGTTACTCTCTTGTAACACTTCGAATCTTCAGCACTCGTACGACCTTATGTGTTACAAGTGCCGTAAAATTCCTACTAAAACTAAAACAAACACAGGTATGCACATGTCTCACAACTATACTCTTCATAGCCGCTACTCTCTGAGGCTGAAAAAGTAATAGAATAAAATAAATTGTGAATCAAATTGCAATAGTTTTTTCTGAAGAGGAGAAAAGTGCCAGCACAGTACAGGAGATACTTTCTGCTTTCTGTCACATCATTGACGGTAACCCCACGCCCACGTCCACGCCCACGCCCACAGCTACACAAGCAGAGAGGAAATTACAAACAAACAAAAAGACTAAGTTAAAGTCAAAGTTAAAGAATGTACCATAGTTTAGAATAAGACAGTTCTTCGCTTCTCCTGAAAAACTTGATATTTACTTCCCACCTTGTATTCTTTCGACAGACGCACAGGTCACAACCTACGAACAGACGCACAGGTCACAACCTATGAACAGACGCACATTACAAGTCACAACCTATGAACAGACGCACAGGTCACAACCTATGAACAGACGCACAGGTCACAACCTATGAACAGACGCACAAGTCACAACCTATGAACAGACGCACAGGTCACAACCTATGAACAGACGCACAGGTCACAACCTATGAACAGACGCACAGGTCACAACCTATGAACAGACGCACACGTCACAACCTACCATGAGATTACAACACACAGTAAGGCAGTAGAACATTGCTCTAACACGCACAGAAAAACATGTACAAAATATATGAGAGATATATATATATATATATGTATATAGTATAAATAACAAACCTAGAGTAGTGGAACGTCATCTATGGATCGTAGAGATTACATTTTGAACTAACAACGAGAGAAAACGTCGAATGAAGGCAGCAGCAATATACAAAGAAACATCAACTTTATGGTATTATTCATGCATTCAAAAGGAAATACACAAACCAAGCTAAAAAATGTGTTTATTGCTGGAAGCAACAGAAGTGGAAGTACAAACTTAAATGCAGCTTTCTTAGTAGGAAACATGACAAAAATAGATGATAGTAATCACAGCAATATTGCCAAGGTGAATTAATGAATCACTTCACAGCATGGGGAATGTGTGTGGGTGTGTGTGAGTGTGTGTGTGTGTCTATAGGTGTGTGTGTGTGTATGTGTTTGTGTGTGTGTGTGTGTGTTTGTGTCTATAGGTGTGTGTGTGTGTGTGTGTGTGTTTGTGTGTGTGTGTGTGTGTAAAGGAAGTATGTGTGTGTGCGTGCGTAAGTGTGTCACAGGGCTTTGCCAGTGTGATGCTACAATAGAGACAAATTCATTCTGTTCATCCCTCTCACACTCATCACCCATCCCCAGTATCTGTCCAAGGGATTCTTTCCTCAGTCATCTTGACTCGATATCTGTCCAGAAGATTCTTTCCTCAGTCATCTTGACTCGATGGATTCTTTCCTCTGTCATCTTGACTCGATGATCCAAAATAGGTTTCCAAAGGAACAGAAGAACATCAGATCATACAAATTCCACGTCGAAAACATTAGGACACTCCCCCCCCCCCTCCCCAACCACTACTGCCCTTTTCTAACTCAATAAAACGAAAAGTTCAGACATCTGGTAGCTGCTACTGTTGATTTAGACTAACTGGTGACAGTTGACTTCAAAGAAAAAATAGGCGTACATCTTTTCTTTCACTCCAATAATTGCAAGCTACATTTAGAGACAATACATCGTTAAAATTAATTGTCAAGTATCTTTTCTGTTCCTACAAATAAAGGAACAGGAATCTCGTCTCCCACGAGAATGAGAGCATAGTACACATCGGCACGTCAACTAAGCCAACGAAACATTACAGAAAAACCTAGCGCGCAACAAAAAAAAGACAAAAAAAAGGACCAAAAAAAAGGACAAAAAAAGGACATCTTATCTTCAAACTATTGTTGTAGTTCAGTCACCAAAACATTCCTCTTTCACATCCTGGGATGTCATCATACCCAGTAATGAAACCACAGAGTTGACAGAGTTGGACAGAAAGTTAAGGAATTTTGGCCCTCTTTGTAAGCCTACACACACGTTAAGTAGAGCAGGAACCATAACTACGCAGTCCACAAACAGTGAGGTAAGTCACAGTTCAGACAGATACAAAATGTATTTATAACAGTCTCGCGCCTTCAAAGCCACTCAGCACACATAGCTATCTACCTCAAACCTAGCTGACTAACTCATGCCTGGCTGACTAACTCATGCCTGGCTGACTGAGTAACTCACACCTAGTTAACTAACTCACACCTAGCTAACTAACTCACACCTAGCTGACTAACTCGTGCTTGGCTGACTAACTCGTGCTTGGCTGACTAACTCATGCCCAGCTGACTAACTCGTGCCTGGCTGACTAACTCATGCCCAGCTGACTAACTCGTGCCCAGCTGACTAACTCGTGCCTAGCTGACTAACTCATGCCTAGTTAACTAACTCACACCTAGCTGACTAACTCGTGCCTGGCTGACTAACTCGTGCCTGGCTGACTAACCTTCCGCAAGCAGTAAGCCTGACTGCTTTTCCTGACCCGAACATTTTCAAGAAAGGAATTATAAAGAAGCAAGAACTTTCTGTACAAGTATGAGAAGAAAATGAGAAAAAATTTAGAAACTTGTAAGTTTTATCTTTGAAAAAGGTGAGAGTGAGAGGGAGAAATTGACAGAAAAGATTTTTTAAAAGACCAACTCACGTTCAACAAACCGTTTATCTTACAAAAGTACGAGAACATAACTGGGACAAAGTGAGGAGAGGAGAGAGAGGATAAAGAAATAAACACACCATAAAGCGATGACCCTGGCAATAGGCAGACCCTAAATTTGATAAAAATTGAGATAAGCTTATGTCTACACGGGCGTCCACTCAGAATAGTTTCGCGCTCTTCTTCAGCTGTTTCTGCTTCCAGGCGGCCATCTTGTTGAAGTCGTTGTAGGACACGTTGAAAACTTTCCGGAACTCATCGTCACGAAGGTGGATCTGGGGGGAAGACAGACAGAGAATCTCAGCTTTGTTTGTTTTTTGCTTTGTTTTTTTTTTCTGTAAGCATTTTACGGCGCTCGCAACTGCATAAGGTCATATGAGTGCGTGGGAGACACAATTTTCAGTTGGTAGGAAATTTTGAATTTTGCCCAGGTGGCGGCCGAAGTCTACTCTTATCGATTTTAGACCACCAAGGGATTTGCAACTTGCACACGGGACCTCTGAGATTTTTTGCTCTTGTCCGAGAAGGCTAGGTGTAGATCTTTCCTAGCAGAATATCAGGGGGTGTGGCTGAAAGACAGCAGTAAGGAGGAGCCAAGGAGTAGCAGTAGACATGCTGCAGAAAGAATCAGGAGCCCAGAGAAAGGGGCAAAGGGGGTGAGGGGGTGGGGGTAGAAAGAGGAGACGAAAGCAGACAACAGAACAATGCCAGAGAGCAGGAAAGGAGGTGAAAGGAGACAATTTTAGAGAAGAAAAGTTTTCGGTCGCTACCTGGTTTCTAACCCGGGGCCTTTGAATGAGAGGCCAACACCTTAACCTCTCAACCACGAGAGCGCCCATCTCAGCTTTGATCGACTCACTCATCTCAGCATATTATAGAAACAGAACTACTTTGTCGAAAGAGCACTTAGCTATATCTAAGGCCTATATTTAGTACGCCTGGGACAAAATGTGAGGTATCGTGATGTAATCAGGCGCTCGTCAAAATAATGAAATCGAAGAAACAGGCTTGTTACCTCCATTTTGGCAATTTTTATTTTTTTATTTTTTTGGCTTAACACCTTTTGTGTCCACATTGAACAGATTTCCGTGAATTTGACTGAAAAACGTTGAGCAAAGGCGTGAAATGTGTGTTTTCTCTGTTCTTAACAACTCTCAAGCTATTGAAGTTACCAAACTTTGGAGCACATTTTCTCTCAAATTTTAACACAGAAAATAGGCAATCTCACCTGCTTCAATCGCAAATATCTCAACTTCTATTTAAGATAGATGGGCATTTTTTTCATTGAAAGCTAGGCAAATGAATAAGCTTTCAGATGATACCAATACCAATAACTGCACAAGCCCAAAAATTGACGAGCATCTGATTCCACCGCATCGTGACGCAAATAGTTCTGAGCCCGAGGTATGTTCACTCACTGACCCTAACAACGTCTGTGAACTCGCTGTTCTTAGCTTCCCTGAAGTCACTGACCTCAGCATCAGTTAACTCATTGTTCCTAAAATGTTTTAACTTACAGATCAGTTAGCATGTTATCTCAGGCATCTTAGCGTCTGTTATCTCACAGATCTTAGCACCAATTAAGTTACCCATCTTAGCGTCTGTTATCTCACAGATCTTAGCACCAATTAAGTTATCCATCTTACCGTTGGTTATCTCACAGATCTTAGCATCTATTAACTCTCTCATCTTAGCTTTCATTAACTCCCTAATCTTAGCATCTGTTAACTCTTTGATCTTAGCAACTGTAGACTCACAGATCTTAACACCTGTTAACTCACTGATTACAGATCTTTGTATTGATTAAGTCATTGAATACTGTGAACAATGTATCTTACCTTCAATTTACCCACTGATCTTCTTAGCATTTGTTGCCTCACAGATTTTAGCATAGACTCATCATAGCATCAATTAAGTCAATAATCTCAGCATCAACGCACCACAAGGGTACACAGTTCAGACATGATGAGCACAGCGCAATCGGAGGACACTACATAGTCTAGTCAGTTTTAGTTTTAGTAAGAGTTTTACGGCGCTCACAACTGCATACGGTCATATGAGCCCCAGAAGATTAGATGTGGTACAAGAGAGTAACAAACATATAAAAGGAAAAGGGGAGATAAGGACGATAGATGTTAGATAGGAAAGATATTAAGAAGCAAACCACATCAGAGCACCCGCCAACCACCCACCTGACAACCTTGGACAGGTGATTGTTTTGGACGGTGTCGTTACAATACAGAAAGAGAGGAAGGGGAAACGTGGGAGGTGGTCATTGGTGCAGGTGATTTTCTTGGACAGGTGATTGTCTTGGACAGGTGATTGTCTTGGACAGGTGATTGTCTTGGACAGGTGATTGTCTTGGACAGGTGGCCGTTAGAGGAGGTTCACCTGGAAATACAAATTTGGACTTACCTCCCGGGCGGACGGGTCGACTCCCGCTGGCAAATCCTCCAGAGCGACCTGTAGTTCAGCCAGCGAGTACTTAGGCACTTCGTTGAAATCCTGGTCACCGTTTGACACACTCTGACAAAAAATATATATATGTAAGTCATCATCATTGCCTGTCTCACCCTGGATCAGGATATAGGCCATGGACAAACACTTTCCACCTTTACCTATCCTGGGCTAGATATATATAAGTAGCAGAATTACATTAAAACATATTTTTTAAAAACTTTGTTAAACTTGTAAGGGTTGCAACTGAAAAAAACGAAGAATTCTCATTTCTTTTCCAATGAAATTTCTTCTGATCGTTGCCATTGACAGATAACGTCGACTCTCTTTGCTCCGTGCCTTTGCACTACATACGATCAGTCTTTTCATACTGCGGTCTATCTCTGCAAGATATCACATCTACCAGGTGAACCACTGATAACAAAGGTTTGAAAAGTAAGGTATTGGAAACAATGTTTAGATTACATTTTTAGTTTTAGTAAGAATTTAACGGTACTTGCAACACAATAAGGTCGTATAAGCGCCGAAGATTAGAGGCGTTACAAGAGAGTAACAAACACAAAAAAGAAGAAGGGGAGATAAAGATGATAGATGTTTGATAGGAAAGAAAAAGCAAACCACACCAGAGTACCCATCAACCACCCACGTTTAGATTATATGTTGTCAACACAAACATAAATAACTTCAAACGAGTACGTGTGTCTGGGTACAGGTCTAGTACTGTCCAGTAGAGGTCTCTATTCACAACTGACTTGACCTTTGAACCCCGAAATTTTGAGCACATTTTTGGGGAATTTTAAGGGATAAAATTTTTACTCATCAATACAGCCAATGTAAAACCTCCCAGAATCTATAGTAATATGTGAGGCAGCATGGTGAAATCAGGCGCTTGTCAAAATACAGAAATGGGAGAAAATGGTATTTTCCCGAAAGTATGGACATTTTTATTGAATTTTTATTTTAGGGCTCAACCTCTTTAATGTCCCTATAAAAACACATTTCCATGTGAATTTTACTGAAGCACATTGATTAAAGGTACCAAATATGTAACTTTTCTGTTTTAAAGGACTCTTTAGATATGGAGTTACCAAACTTTGGCAGCCATTTTCAGGCTAATTTCACCACTGGAGCCAGGCGACCTAGCTTCCTTCAATCACAAATATCTTGAGTTCTAATCAAGATAATTATTTAATTGGAAGCAAGGTAAAGAAATCAGCGTTCAGGTGATACCAATATCTCTACACGCCCAAAAATTGACGAGCGCCTGATTTCACTGTGCATGCTTGGTGACACATATTATAATCATCTCATACATAAAATCAAAACTAATAGCACGCAGAAGCTGAAAATATGGGAATCATGATGTATGACCAGTATTTGCTGAATAAAAGATTTGGAAGAAAGAGTGGAAGAGATAATGGGAAATTCTGATGAACACAGCCGGCATTCTTCCGTGGTAGCTGAATTTCCTGACTACCGGCTCGTTCACACCAAATATCCATAATCCATATTTGTGTGGTATCCTGTGTGAGACGCACCAAAGAATGTATTTCTTATTTGGGCCCTTTCTGTGTTCCCACCAACTGTCCGTGTTCATGCAGTGATGGCAGTTGTCATTCGTGTTAGTGGTGAGTTTTATGGCAGCCATGAAATATCATCAGTCTGCTCTCATGTTGTGACCGACCGCTCCCTCCCTCCCTCACTGAGTCAAATAACTACAAGGACCACGAGGCAAAGAGCAACCATACGCTACTCTCTGAACTATGCTCTCCATCCTCACTTCCATGTTGATATAAAACACACATGATAGCGCACGAATAGACGTACGATAGGTGTGAATGGGCACAAATTCGTGCGTTAGACGAATGCACGATACCACACGAACTGTGGTGTGTCTTTGAGCAAGACACGACAACCCTAGCTCAAATTCAGGGGGCTGCACAGTGGCGACCGACAGTGGCATTTTAGTAAACTGCTCTGTATTTGTGTAATATTGTGTATTTAGTTATGCATTTATGCATGTATTAATGTATGTACATATTTATAATTATGTATTTAGGTATGTATATGTATGTTTGCCATTGTAAACCAAAGCGCCCTTCCGGGACAAATAAAAGTGTAATTTATTATTATTATTTATCATTTTGAACACGGATGTTTGGGGTGTATGAGCCATAACGCTGTGAGCGCAGTTCCCTGTTTTAAAAGTTAAGACAGGATGACATTTATCGCCATCTACCGGTATCTGTGGACTGACCTCTTTGACTTGAGCAATGGGCATGTTCCCCTCACCAATCTGTTTCTTCATCTCCTCAAAGCTCATGCCCTTCTGGGAAACAGAAAAACAAAACAACAAACTGTGAACCAATTTTCTCAAACAACACCGAAAACTGTAAGGACAAAATACTTGCAGAAAAAAAAAAGAAGCAAGAACCCAGTCACATCTGCTTCCCCTTTATCATTCTCGTTTGAGGAAAAAAAATGATGTCCTTAGTGACTGAAAATTATTCTCCCCCCCCCCCCCCGAATGTAACAGCAGCAATAATGTGAGTAACAACACTATGGCTGCACAACCAACAGTAACTGCGATGACAGTGACAGCATCACTTTACTTTACTTTTACTTTACTTTCCCGATCCAGCGACCATTTGGGTTCTAGCCCTTCGGTCTGGGTAACAGCATCTATAATAAGAAAAAAGCAACCCCAACAAGGACAGCAAAGATGGTGACAATAGCAACAATTAGAGAGATAGTGGCAGCACCAAAAGATGCACAGGGCAGCTGGAATAATGTTGTTGAAGGCCTATGCTCCACTGGGAGTTAAAAAGGGCAAGAGAGAGAGAGAGAGTAGCAGCCCCACCAACAATAACAGCAACAACAATTACAGTGACAGCACACCACCAACAACAACAACAGCAACAACATCCCCACAGCCGCGACTCACACTCCACAAGTCCCTGTCCCAGACACCAAAGAACCCTGTGAAGGACGGAGGTTCCAGTCCCTGCTTGACGATGTAGATGGGCGTGTCCTCGTCCCGGCCCGCTGGGTCCGTCTTCAGATACTCCTGGGAACAGATTGGGTCCGTTAGTTTTAGTAAGAGTTTTACGGCACTTGCAACACAATAAGGTCAAATAAGTGCCGAAGATTAGAGGTGTTACAAGAGAGTAACAAACAGAAAAAAGAAGAAGGAGAGATAAGGACGAAAGAAGTTTGATAAGAAAGAGAAAGCGAACCACACCAGAGCACCCGCCAACCACCAATGAAAAGATAGTGTCAACAATACCTGAGGAATTATTTAAAAAATTCTTCAAAATTCCACTTTTTATTGATCCCTGTTGGGATGTTTGGTTTTTAAAGGCTTAAAAATAAATATCCCAATTGAAAGAGCTGCAGAGCTGGCCTACCATAGACAACTGTATCTCCCTTAGATGCTTAGCAGCAACAGAGGAGGAAAAAGTAAAAGTAAAATGAAAGTAATAACGTTACATATATTATACATACTATAATAAGGTACAAAATATATCCCCTTAAAAAGAAAAAAAAGAAACACCGAACTCCATAGCATACTACAACATTCATTTTACAAACAAGTCAATAATTTGATAATAATAATAATAATAAATGACATTTATATAGCACTCAACCCCGATTAAAGTACACAGGCTCTGAGCGCTTTACAATACAGTACAACGTACAACAGTAACATAAAACGTTGTGTTCTGACTAAAAGAAAATCACTCCAAATATTCATCTTATTAATTTAAAAACAGAAACGACTTCAGCTGACATTTGAATGAATCAAAAGATTTGATCTCTCTTAAAGTACTTGGTAAAGCATTCCAGATCTTGGGGCCTTTGG